ATCCCTCTCAATATTTCAGACAAATAAAATTTACATGCAACCTCGCCGATTTAAATTATTCAAAGTTATAAACGAGAAAAAAAGATATAAGTGTTAAATTAATAATGCTATTACTTTATTGTTATTATTATTATTTTTACAATTAATTTCTTTTAATTTGTCTAGTTTTCAGTTATGTGTCTTTCCATTTACACGTTAATTTACATCAGCTTTCTCCTCTGCAAGACATATAAACAGTATTTTTCTGTATTAAAACATTTCTTAATCAGCTTAAAACTGCAGTAAGGTTTAATTAACAGTTTTAATTTTCAAGCTATCTAATACAAAGCGTTTAAAAAAGTAAACAACACTAAAACTCACTAAAAGCAACAATTGAAAAAAAATAATACATTGAATAAGTTTTTTTCATAAATCAAAACAACTATAGTTTCTTTCAATATTTTAGGTAAAGAGTAATGTAGAATCTAATTTTATATTTCTATAAAGAATTGTTAAAATATCATAATCAAATTTTAAAAATAAAGTTAAATTGGCAAAACACATACTACTCATAATTATACAAATCAAATATAGTATTTAAAATTACATATAGTAATATACAATTTCTCCTAAAAAAATATTGATAAGTATTAATATTCAAAAGAACTCTTAGATGATATGTTAAAGGTATTTTTATTCTAAATAGATACTTAAAATAAAAATACTTTTGGCATACCTATATTCTAACATAACCATAAAATCACTAATTAACATAGGAAATAATCCTAAAATTTTTTTGCAACTTTTTGTTCACTAGTTACTGAATTTTCATTTCCGATTTATTGAATAATTATACACGATTTCAAAAACTTGATAAATGGTAATCAATTTTAAAGCTTTTTTTTTCAGATTCTGAACTGAAAATTATGAAGAAAAAATAAACATTGTAAAATAAAGGCCAAGTATTAAAAGCATTAATATCTAAAAAAATGAATGAGGAATGCAGCTTTGTTTTATTTTTATGAGGCAAAAGTGATTAAATTAATATTTAAAATCATTAGACTTGTAATCAGAAGTTAGCAAAAATTATGCAACAAAAGAAATGTATACAAAATTTGCAATTAGTCTTAAAAAACTTTCTAACAACAATAGTGAAACTAGAACTACAAAAGAATAAAAAGTACTTTAAATAACTATTAAAATTGAATGTAACTAATCAATATTTTAACTGATTTTAACCAAATAAAAATACGAAACTTAATTTTTTAAAAACTTACAAACATTAATTTGTAATGAAATCCAAATAATTGTGGGGGGGGGGAGTACAGTTTGGAAACAAATAAAGACAATAACACATTTTAATTTCAATTTCAAATGATAAGAAAAAATTTTTAAATCTATTTGAAAATGTGCATTACTCAAAATAAACTTTTGAATTTATTAATATTTTTTTTATATAATTCCTTGCAAATAATAAAAATTATAACTCAAATCATCACATTGTAATAGTTGAATTAATAGTTCAAGGATATAGAATTTTAAATTAGTCTCTAGAAAAATTTTTAATGCTAACATTTACAAAATTATGCTATTAATATTTTAATTTAAAAAAAATCCAGAGAAACATTTTTTTTTCTATTTTTGCTCCAAGAAAATAGTTTTTGTATGTAAATTTAATAGGAAAAAAAATTATTTTTACTGAGCTGGTTTTGATATTTTATCTATTTTTTTATAAACTAATTTTACTTTTAAAAAAAAATCAATAAATAACTAGAAAATTTCATATTTAAAAATTTCTAAATCTGAATTTATATTTAGATTTTTAATTACATAGAGAGGAGGAAAAAGGCCAGGTGAAAAGTTTTAAAAACATTAAAAAAATGTGGAGCATTGCATTTGGGGAAATTTAACGTATAAGAATAGAATTTTACGGGAATTGAAACTAAGTAAACTTATCAACTAAGAAACCGGAAGAATAAAAACTGTTAATAGAACCTCATCTATAGTTTGATAAATATAAACTATATTTAGTTGAATATATAAAAAGACTGATAAAACAATCAAGTTAAGAAACAAAAATTAATTTGGTTAAATGTCGGTGATCCAATTAATATTAATAGATTAAGAAAATATTTTAGCTAGACATGAAGTATTTTCATTTTTTGACTACACAAAACCATTTGGTGAAAAAGCACATTGTATGGTTTTAAAAAAAAACTCCTTACTTGTGCAATACAATTAAGGTGTACTTTTAGATTCTTGGTCCTCTTTTTATTGACCCATGCTTCATTTTTTTTTCTAATAAATAAAACATTAAACTAAATAAATAGTATTATAAATAAATAAGTTATAAGCACAAAAAATATGTTTGAAGAAAAAATAAAGATTAACTTGCTAAAATATATTAGTTCAAAATATAAGAAACGGCTTGATAATGATACACAAAAAAGTTTTAAACCAGAAAATAGCTGCAAATCAATACAATTAATATATGTAGTTTTTACAATATTGTACATAGCATAAGAGAATTCAAAAATTAAATAATTGAATAAGAAACGCGATGATGTACCAGTAACATAGGGTACATCATCGTGTAAGATAGGGTGCATCCCTTTGCCTATTCTTTTTTTTAAAAAAAAATAGGCAAAAGGACTAAGCCTATTTTAATCATAAATATTTTAATCATAAAGAATCAAATATTGTTACGAAATTTCATTTTAATAGAAAATAAAGATTAAAAAAAATTCGCAGATAACATACTTCTATAATTAACAATTCAATAGATTAAAATATTTTTAGATTCAATTTGCACTAATTAATATTAATATGCGTAATAACAAAAAATTTATAAAAATGAAAGTTAGAAACTTGAGATTTTCTTTAATACCATACTTTTTCTCAGAAGATTAGTAAACTTGGAGATAATAAAACTTAGAAAACATACAACAGGAGGCTTGAAAATTATGTTGGTACCAATCAGACATATAATTTTTAAACTTACACGTCCGATAGGGTTTGTAAATATTCAATCAGAAGTACCCTTTAATACCTCTCAAATTTAGATGAAAATCGCCAAGATAATGGGTGAGAAAAAACATCAAACCAAAGGGACAGGAAAAAAAGAATATATATATATATTAATTCAAAAGTTTATCGCAAACACTGTGCATAAGAAATTAATAAACCTAAGGTTTACGCTATAATTTTGAAACAAAAATTTGATACATGCACTTGCCAGTAGTTTACAAAAATCATGATAATATTGCTTTTTTGTTAATAATAATACCCTACATTAACTCCATAAATACCTAAAAATTTCTTGTTTATAATACTTTACACTTTTTTTGCTAAATTATGCTTAAAATAAAAGTGTCAATGTAAATCTAATTTTATTAATGTCATTTTTTTCGACAGATTAACAACAGTTACATTCATAGGTTTTCATTTATATGCAAGCAGAAAAGATGTTGGGGCCTGTATTTTTCAGACATGTTGGATATAGCCTGGCATTATTGATATTTTCAGGCCTTAATACAATGACATTCTAGTTGGTTAATTATTAAGTCAGAAAATATTGTTTAAAAATCCTTAACATTCTCTTTTGTAGATTATAAACATTCAGACATCAATGTAAACATACAAACAAAAATATCAAAACATTTACTAAGGATAACACAGTAAAGCTACTTTGTTCCAATTAATGAAAATAAATACTTTAATTTTAAGGACAATTTTTCAAAATAAATATTTTTCAACATAAATACTATGAAATGTAACAGAGAACTGAAGAAATAAATAAATCTTACAAGGTAACTATCACACAAAACAAACAAAACATAAACAAGTTTAAATAAATACTTTTATCTCCACTTTCATTGCTTTTATGAAAACAGAGACAATGTTATATGAGCATAAGTCAAAGCTTTGTGTAAGATTTTTTTTCTTTTACAATAAATTATAACGTAAACACTGCTTTTTCTAAAAAGAAGCTTTAATGATTACCTTAATTACAAAGATAAAAGCAAAGCTAAATAATATAAGTCTAAATAATAACTTAATAGACTTTCCTGTAAGACTTTTCAGTTTAACAAAAACTTAAACCATATAATTAATAATAATGGATTTTAAAAAAAACTTTACAAATACAGCTCAAAATTATAAGCTGAAATTTGAGAAATACAAAAGCAGATCAACCTTAAATTTGTTGGCATTTTTAAAAGCTTTAGGTGTACAAAACAGCAATATACAACAAACTAACAGGCCAGAGAAAAAGTATAAATTTATGAAATTACCTTGCAATTTGTAAAACTAAATGTAGAAAAGAAAATTAAAGAAAAGACAGATTATGAGCAATTTAAAAAATACTTTGGTAAAAACACCTTGCTTATACATATATATATGGAATAAATTAAGAGTAATTATTAGTTACAGTAGAAGATCTTTATAATGCAAAACTTAAAACATGAGGCTTTGCATTATATAAAACATTGCAAATAATTAAATAACATTAAGCTTAACTATTAAACACCACAATACATCTCTGAAATAAATGAATATTTAAATGCATTAAAATAATTTTTAGATGCAAATAGCTCTAAATCACAAAAAAAAAATTTACAGGAAAAAATAAAATTATCCAGCGTATTAGAAAAAACAGCAAAAAAAAATTAATCAATTTTGTTTTGCTTTAGAAATTTCAACAAAAAAAAATTTTCTTACAGTCTAAAAGAAAACACAAATATTTTTAATTCTAAATAGATAAAACTTCTTTGAAAAAAACGTGCTAAAAAGCAGCAGAAATTTCAGAAAAAAGTGTCAATAAAGGAAACGAAGAAAATAAAAATATGACCACCGAAGCCGACGTCTTCAGGGGGTACCGGCCTTGGTAGCCATAAAAACAAAAGCTTCTCCCTCAATTAGAAATGGTTTTGTTTTTATGGCTACCGAGGCCGGTACTCACTGAAGACGTCGGCTTCGGTGGTCATATTTTTATTTTTATTTCCTTCGTTTCCTTTCTTACAGTCTATGAACAGTTAATTGTTCCCGTTTAGTTTTAGAAATCTGCAATGCGATTTTCATTGGCTTACACCCACAAAGTTAAAGTGGTTAATAGAGAATTGTAGTTCCTATATTTGCTTTAAATAGATCTTCTACTGTTTAGCTTTCAATCTGTTAGTAATCAACTTGACATCACAATACCTTTAAGTAATTATTCAACCGAAAATTACTTAAGATTTAAATAAGGATCCCTCTCATTGTTAAACTATTAATCTAATTTTTAAACTAAAATTTTATGATCAACAATTAAAATTCACTTCCTAATTAAAAAAATTTTAAAAATTTTTTTGCATAGTTTCTCAATAAAATTTTAATATACTAAACACTAAATAACAAATAAATGGTACATTCATTCTGTGTATAGCTCTGAATATACATGAAAAATTCTTTACTACTTAAATTTCAAAAAGTTAAAATATCACCCGAAAAAAGCATTCTAACACTCATCACAGATGCTTCACACAAACAATTCGTTACTTCTTTCTTGACTAAAACGTTTTTTCCTATAAAATAAAAATTGCTTTATCAGATTTATAAATCAAAAATTATAAACAATGCATTTTTTTAATAAATTTTTCACTGTTCATAATTTTTAAAATTTAATATTATTTTTTTTAAAAAAAGCTGCATTGAAAAATAAAATGTAGAAAGAAAGAGTAAACTTTAAATCAAGATATAGTCTGTTTACGTAACTCCCCTATCCATTCATCTGGAGATGTGGCAGTGACAATGGTTATGAGGTTTAACTATTTCAAGTAAAAAAGTTCGGTAGATAATTAAGACAGATTTTGATTTGGGTTGGTAAGATAATGGAAATCAGGGTAGAGAGAAGATCCCCTCTTTAAAATACGCTATTTCTTATTTTCATAGCAGCAAATGATCCAGACTTTGCAGTGAGGGGAGCTCTTTTCATAGACAAACTATATTTGTTAAACCCAAAACCACTAAAATTATTAAAATAAAAACCATAATATACAAAAATGTACCAGAAAAATTTTCAAAATGGCTTCCTTTTTAGAATCATTTAATAACATTGATTTGAAAAATATTTTTTTTTTTACTGAACTCCAACATTTGTTCAACATGCATGATAACAAATACAACAACACTTGCTGAATCCAGAATTTTCAATACATTACTATGACTAAATTTATTCTCATTCAAAATTTGGTAAATGTCTTGTTTTTAAAAGAAATCTTAAACAGATTATATCAGTTAGCAAACATGTCCTTCTACGCTGCCTATTTCAGACTTACTCAAGCAGAAAGAAACGTTCAAACGAAAATATTGGGTCGCTTGTGCATGAAAGACAGCTCTAAATATAACTAATATTTGCTGCTTTTAACAAAGCAACTCTCTCTTTATCTTAAAATACTCTCATGTTAAATTTTAAAATAATAAATATTGATTTATTTCACACTTTAAAAATTTAATATAATAAAAACAGTGGAGGAATTCAAGATTTCCCTATGAAAGAAAAGGAATTTCCTTATAACGCTCTCTCAATAAATTTGGCAGTTAATCTTCCTGAATGTACTAAAATATCAGTTAATATATTCTTCTATAAAAATCTGTCATTCTTAGAAACAAGTAAACATGATATAATTATAATAACAGTGTTTCTATTTTATTTAAACAAACATATTCATTTGATCCACATACACTTCTGCAATTCTTTATTCCATTTGTGGAAGAAACAGATGAAAAAACATTCTAAAATAATTAGGAACTATTAAAAAAAGATTCAGTTACTTCTTTTCTGCTTTTATGCTGCAGCAAACATTACATTACTCTAACCAAAAATCTTCAAAGTGTAGCCTAAATATGTCCCTTAAACTATCGTTTTTTCTGCCAAAAAAAAAGTTTTTGTGCCTTATATTTAACAAGAAACTTACACAGGGTCAGATTGGTTAATCCGGCCAAGGAGTAAAGCGGTGGTATAATAAAAAAAAGATTAATTTCCTGCTTTTAAATTGAGATACTTAGTTTCATTATTTTCAGTGGGTCGATAAAATGAGTACCAAGCATGCTTGGGAACTAACACTGGGGGTTCCGCGTTCGGCTGACCACCTGACCGGAACATATGCTCTTGCACCCCAGAGCCCGACTAGAAAATTGTGGAGATGGGCACAGTC